TTTTTTCTTTTTGAAATTTGAGTGAGGGATGCAAAAATTAAGGTGCTGAACCTTCATAGTGACAGTTGATAACTTGACTCAGTTCAAAGAGGATTTTCGTGAAATCTGTAACTTTGAGATTTAACAATTCCATGCTATTATGCTCATTTAATGAATCTAATTTCCGAATGATTTCGATTTCTGATCTTTCGTCATGGGGTTTTGTCAAAATCTTATCAGGGCACGGCAGTGACAAAGGTGAGGATGAAACAAAAGGAGGCTGAAGGGGTAGCCGAGAAGAGGAAAGGAAGGAGAGGCCCTGGCAGTGTCATTGGATCCAGTGCTGCTGGTTGTGTCTGTGCTTTCCTGTCAATACTTGGAATAGGAGGAAGCAGATATTCTCGGCTTTGGCAACTAGGGTTTGTTGCCAGCTTCTGCACTAAGTTAAGTGATACTGTCTCGAGTGAGATGGGAAAGGCATATGGAAAAACAACGTAAGTTTCTGTATTTGTTTGAATTGAGATCTTCGTGTCCATGTTGTTATAACTTATAACTGATCTTATGGGTCTAATATTGGTGTTTAATATTCAACAGCATCACATTTGGTTAATAAGTTTCATTTTTATTGGCATTACATAAATTAGCAACCCCAGAAGTTTCTAGATATACGGCATGTGATAGTCTATTGCTTGAAATTGTCATAGTTCATCTCTCTCTTCGTCTTTTCTTATTAGATTTTATACATCGTTCAGCTTTACATGCTCTGGTGATTTCTTACATAGCATTAGGTTTAAACCCTGTACACCATATGATTGACACATAAGGTTGCCTCAAATTCTGATGGGTGCCAAAAAGGAAGATAAATGGTTGTGCGTGGAACATTCCAGCAGTTTGGCCCAACCTAATGTCATGTGGCGCAACATTTTAAACATTAAAATAAGAAAAGTATGAATTACTGATAACCCTTAAACCTTTTCAATTTATGATCTGTTGAAAGTTGAAACCTTCAGTCGTCAATTGAATCTTGTGATGGCTTGTAGGATTCTTTTTAGGTGACTGAGTTATTCGGGAACAGGCCTGCAAAACTTGGACACATAATGAGAAGATGGTTCTAGTAGTTTGTCTCATTGATTGTGGTCCTGTCCATCAGTAGAAGAATGGACAACCATTACTGAAACTATATTTTGTTAGGTTTAGTTAGGCAATAGAATTGAGTAGACCCATAGTGTTCAAATAAATATGTAATGGCTGATACTATGAAAGTGCCTTAACCATGGTATGCTTGTAGTGGTTAATCTTTCATTGACAGTGTAACACTCTCGTAAAGTGGAACGAACATAAAATGCGTAATGATTTAGCCTTCAGGTGAAGTGAAACTAACATAAAATGCATAATGCTTTAGCCTTCAGGTACAAAATCATTTTAGTCTATTCTGCAGTTTCTAATGCAGGATGATTGCAGCATAGTGAAATTTGAAGCTTTAATTTTATCTTTTGAGTAGTTCTGGCGACATTCACCTCTCCCAGACCCTGCGTAAAGCGGGAGCCTTATGCACTGGGTACGACCTTTTTTTTTAGTAGTTCTGGCAACATAAAGAAGCTAGGAATTAAAAGTATCAAATTGAGAATTTGGTTCTCCTGATATTAGGTCGAGTCACTTGCATCAAGAACTAAACTGATGTGTCTTTTTTTTTTTTTTTCTTTTTTCATGAAGAATCTTAGAGCTTACAATTGAAATCGCTTTTCTAATCCAATTAGTTTTTTCTCAAGGATACACCTTGTAAATCTCTAGCTGCCTTATTTGCTACCAGAAATCCCAAACCCCCTAATATATACTGAAAGCTGCTGCCCCATAAAATTCTGCAACTCTCCCTTCCTAGGTCAGTTTTCTCGTTTGGGAAAGAATCCAACTAGTGTTGTCCTCATTTTTCTGCTAACTGGATAAATGTGTCTTTTTCCTTTTGGATTTTAGATAAGCAATGATTTGTTTGAGATCATAAAAAATTTAGTATTTTCTGTTACCCCAGATCCTGCGTAAAGCGGGAGCCTTGTGCACTGGGTACGACCTTTTTCTGTTACCCCAGATCAATTTAAAATTCCAAGAACATAATTTTGCTTCTTGACCAGGTACTTAGTTACAACATTGAAGGTAGTTCCAAGGGGAACAGAGGGGGCTGTGAGTGTTGAGGGAACCTTTGCTGGACTTTTGGCCGCTATCCTTCTTGCGTTTGTTGGTTGTGCCATGGGTGAGGTGCTGTTTACTATATACCCTTCATTGTTTGTGTGTATTATATTTTTTGTCTGTCGCTTTAACTTCTATGCATATAACACTCCTTGTACTTTTTCTCAAACAGGTAAGTGCACCTGAAGCAATGATATGCGTAATAGCATCGCAAATAGCTAATCTTGGTGAGAGCATTATAGGTGCTGCTCTTCAAGACAAGGAAGGATTTAGATGGGTAGGCAATCGTCCCAATCTTTGATTCTTTATATATCCTTTTTTAGTAACTTTTCTTGTGTATTATGTTCATTCTCTAATAAAGAATCAGTTTGGTATGTTCGGCCATGGCCGTTGAGGGTTTGCTCTTAGCATATTTAGGAGAACCAATGGCCGGTTGAGCTCGATTCATGGGTTTCCCGAGCATTTTGGTGAAATAATGTTGGATATGGGAAAGCATAGGGTTTTTTGTCCTGTTGAGGACCTGGTGATAGAATAGATGGGCAATCTGGGGAGCAACAGGAGGTTCCTCGAATAATAACAATATCATGATACATTTTGAAAAGCACTAGTTTCTTTGTGCTTTAGTGGCACAAATTCCCCTTCAAAAGCATGGAGGGCCCTAGATGTTACAGCTCCATTGTATATAATTTTCCTTGTAGGTTGTTCTCGGCTTCAATTGTGTGCAACATATTTCCCTCTGTTCTTACACCATGTCCATGCTCTATTTTACAGCTCAACAACGATGCTGTGAACGTCATAAACATATCGATGGGCAGCATTTTGGCAGTCTTGATGCGGCGGGTTTTGCTCCAGAACTGGAGTATGTAAATTGTCAAATCCATTAAGGCTGAAGATGCTTCTCTGATGTGCCCACCAGCTATGCCAACAAAATCAAACATGACCCATATTTTTCACACTGGCGACCGAAAACAGACCATTGCGCTCAACGTGGGAGACGGATTACAAGCATGTTATCTTATTTCTCAGATGGCGTGTTAACAATTTAGCGAGATTATGCTCATTGGAAAATATTTAGAAAATGCTTTGGTTCGATGTTGCCCTTCCCTAAAGAAAAAATGAAAGCTAGTTGAAATGTATTGGTGAACTATTTATCGTCGAAATGGTAAGGAATGTATGTACTATGGAAATTAATCTTTGAAGTAGTGAGAAATAGGATTATTTTGCATCAAGAACATCTTCTCTCTTATAATAACTTCCGTCGCATGTATTGCAGGTCTAGAATATCTATTAACTTTATTAACCTTCCAAATGAGACCTAATCGTAGGGTCAAGTCAAAATGAATTGAACAAGATGGGTACCAGTCGAACAAATTTTTGTAACTGTCACATGGTGCTACTAATTCAGAAATCCGCCTTAATTGGGTTGGAATCTCACCATTTCTTGGCGGCCTTTCATGCAACCATGCCAAACCAAAACAAGAACTCAGACCAAACCATCCAATTTCCTCTAACAAAAACAGAAGCAGCCAAGTAGAAATTGAAGGCGCTGAAGGTGACAGCAAAGGATAGAAGCAGAGCGATCGATATGAGAGGCTCTTGGAACTCATCGTCAAGGAAGCCAAGAAAAGTGTCCACCTTCCTCGAGAAGAAGAAAACTAGATGCAACGTTTACTGTTCGTTCTAACAGGCACCAACACAGAATTGGTAATGTTGCATTTATCCTATAGCGTTGATTCGAATGGAAATTCATCGGACAAAAATCATGTACACAGTTAAGGTGTAACAGACTAAAGGGAGGACAGAAAACCGCCTTAAACCATTCAAATCGACCAAAACCAAACCAATCCGAGCAGTTCAATTCGAATTTTACCCTAAAACAGTATAATCACAAACCGAACTGAACCATTCCTAAATAGTTGGTTTGGTTTGGCCTCTACATGAAAGCCACCAAAACCGAGTCCAACCCGTGAAACAGACAATACAGGAAGCCTAATCAAGGGATATTATCCTCCATGGCAATCCTACTTCTGGCTGGTACTAGCAGGCCAACCATTGAAGTATTGATCCTGCCATGTGAAATGTTTTGTCCCACAATTCAAACATGTAACATGTGCTCTTCTCCTATCTTTGTGCAAACAGGTTGTATATAATTCGAATAATAGAAGCAATTTGATTTGAAACATTCCTAACATCAAAGGACATGAGGCACATTAACCCTTAATGTAAACAAAATTACAAATCAAGATTTGACAGTACATAGCATAATAAAGTAGTGGTAGGCATGGGGCTGGGGATTAAGAATATCATCAACAGGGAAGAAGCACAGAAATTTCTAGTCGATCATATCTGATATCAGTCAAACAGCACCGCAGGGTGCGGTATCTCAAACGTATCAGGATACCGCCACCTTAGCATCCGAGTTGCATAAGAAACTGAAATCATAATGCATCACAGTTTTAACAATAAGAAATGAATGAACAAGCTAGGAGGTCCAGCCCTTGTGAGACTGCATGTGAAAGAGAGAAGCTATTGACATGACAAGAGAGGCAAAGAGTCATGGGCAGGTCATCAGTTGTTTAGATTGTTTAAGATAAGATGTCACATCAGCGGCTGAGTTTTTCCGATAGCACAAATGTACCTAAGGATATAGTAAGTAGCCATAGGTTCAATGTTTCTAAAACATTGACGAAGAACTAGTCTTGCCTAATCTCTCTATTTCTTAAAGAAGAAAACGTGTTTATGGACATTTTGAATTTCATGAGCAGGGTAACAACTCTGGACTTTTCTATCCGACAAAGGAGAACCTTTTAAATCTAAATGGGTAAAAATCAAATTGAATCTATATGCAATAACCGAATACAACTTGTTTATTTTTATTTTGCAGATTGATGTTTACAAACATTACAAGAGATGATGGGAAGTGGTAAGTAAGACATTATGTTGGGAACGGTACACAAAAGTACAAGCAGAGAAAGAACGGTACACAAAAATACTACATTATAAACACAACAAACAAACCCAGCATATGGTAATTTTTGTAGCAGGAACTAGAATTGCCTACGACGTTTTGAGATAGTACCATTATGTTGGGAACGAAGAGGGTTTTGCATTTGTGAGTGGCAAATGTCTGGAACAAACATTGTAGAAGAATCGGACGGATTCTGAAAACTTTTGGGCCAGTACAGTCCCGATGCTGTAGGTGGGGAAGGTACCTGTGGCACCATCCATGAGGTCTCTGGCACCTCACCTATGCACTCGTAGTCTACCAATTCCTCCTCAGATGATCTTAAAACTGGCGAGTCATACCCTCCGAGTTTACTGCAGTCAGCCTGGTATCACAAGAAAAAAGCAACATTATGCACTGCTATAAGTTAGAACGATAATGCTTAGAGAAATATGCCAAGGAGTAGGTCATCACTCATCACTCATCAGTCACAACCAAATTATTGAATTCTGTCAACTGCTTGCTGGCCTAACATTAGCGAGCGCTTCAATAATCACAAGGGCCTTGCAACACAACAGCAGTAAAAGCGGTTTACGATGATCTATAATACAAGCTTATAGGACATCTCCTTTTTGCAATTATGAAGTGCAATCTTATGAATCTCAAAATACTTGTCCATTGAAGAGTTTTAAGAACCAATTTGCAGTACTTCGCATTCAAATTTTCATGAAACCGAAAAATTGGCACCACAATTTCGAAAGGTTTCTCCAAAATAAATTGTTATTTGTTTAGTGTAATCAAAATAAAGAATGTATTTGCAACAATGCAATAGGATAACGATTGTTAAATAAATGAATAATTACAAGATTAGCACTGAACACAATGAGGCAGGCACACACCTTTGAAGATCCATTATCAATGTAGTCAAAGCTCTGATCAAGATCAGAGAATCCAAGAAACTCATCTATATAACATTGTGGAACACTCCCAGCTGCAGAACCACCGGTAAACGATATCCCTCCACCGGGCGGCGCGGCCGCCTTGCACTCCACATGCAACGGGTTATGAGTTTCATATCTAGACACAGAGGCAGACCCAGAATGCAACTTCATAGTAGAAGAAGACGCCCCAACACAAACCCCATCACCTTCGCCGGAATCCGGCTCAGCTGGCTCCGGCCCAACTTTGATTCCGGTCAGCAAGAACCTCCGGTGAGCCGACACGAAGCTATTAGCCGTGTGAACAGATACATCACATTTTCTACACAGCAAAGCTCGATCTTCTAAGCAGAAAAAGTACCCAACTGCCTCCTGCAATCATAAACTCAAAAATTCAAGCAAAACCCAATCCAAATTTCGTGTTTTTACGATCAAATTTCTCAACTTTTTCGATGTGGTATTCGAATCTTTGAAGTATACCTGGCAGATATCGCACTTGGGCATGTGGGAGGAGCACAGAGGAACCCTCTGGTGTTTGCTCGCGAGCTTGTTCGCTTTGTGAACCTTCTCGTCGCACGCCCAGCACAGCGCCGCCTCGTCAGCGCAGCAGAGGACGTTGGCCTCCGCCGCCTCGCAAACGTTGCACTGTATCTTCATCTCTCTCTAAACCCTTCCAAAATCTCTTCTCTTGTGAGTTTTGTTGGTGTTTCTCTCTCTACAGTAGAAGAAGGGAGGAGCGAGTGAAAAACGAGTGATCTTCTCGGAGGACAGCAAGCAATTTGGAGGTGTTACACGTGGAGGGATTTAACAAGTGTCGTGGCGTAGGAGGTCGCCGTTGCTTTGCAATTGTTAATTGCACGACTGTTTACAAATATCTTCGGGAGCGCAACTGACACTTCCTTCTGACAAACGAAAACTGACACAATGTAAACACCACAGGAACTCGCAAAAACCAAATGGCCTAGTTTCCGGACAAGGATTGTCTGCCCTTCGTAAGGATTGTCTGCCCTCCACTTCCAGTGCCCTTTCCATGCTCTTTTATTTTGTGTGATCACGGTTAAGTTATGTCAATATTTTATATTATTTTTTGTATATATATAATAAGATAAAAATAAATAGTAATATAAAATGTTAACGTGGTTTAACCGTGACTGCACAAATAGGAGGGCACGAAAAGGGCACCGGAAGTGAAGGGCAGACAATCATTATCCCTAGTTTCCAATAGGATCCTCTCCTGATCATTTTAGTGAGAATCTAAAAATTTTGTGAATTATATTCATTCATCGTATATCGTGTGATCGGTTTTTGTCAAATATTGTTTGTGTTTAATTTTAAATAAAAATATTTAAAATAATTTCTAATCGCACAATATACGATAAACGAACATAATTTACGAATTCTTAAAATCCTCGTAAATAAAATCCGGTGAGGGCCCGCATTCGCCTAGTTTTATAGTGGGCACGCCCGGAGCAACTGGGCATTATATGGAGGGTACCAAAATTAAAGAGAGGGCTCGTCCAAGGACTGGCATTGTTTGGTATGGGATGGTACACGTTCCTTGTTGAGGCTTTCAACTTATGTCACGTTTATTTAATGCGTTATCATATTAAAATAGATTGAATTGAAGATGAATTGAATTGAGAGAATATATTAGAATCGAACTTTTATGCAAGTTGTTTACTAAACTGTTTGGATGAAAATAGGAATAATATTGATTCCATAAAAATTGTTTGCCAAATAGTCCTGAATTGAAATTAAAACCAATTTAATTACTAAACTGCCCATTTAAGAATAAGAAATAGAAAGGCAGCGGGATTTCATTTTTTTTTCTTTTGTCAAAGGGTGGGTGGGGGATGGTTAACAAATTCTTCAAGACCAGGACCACGAAATTGGGGGCCAAAAGTGGAAGATGAAAGATAGTAGCATAAGCTTCCAACTATATCTCTATTCAAGTTTTGATCTTCTCATATAATGAGTTTCGATTTGATCATACTGGTTTGTTACTGGGCAATGTTTTAAAAAATGTTAGACACTAGTCGAGCAGGGTTGGAGCCTAGTGCCTAAGCTGGGCTAGGCAGGATCTAGACGAACTAAACAGTTTAGGCAAGTGACTTTTCTTAATTTTCAAATGCGTATGAATTAATGAGAGCAGTGACTAGTAGGAATTTTTAGAACAATCATTTTGATTGGATAGTGCGGTAGTGGTCTGATGGTGGTCGTGGAGTTGATTCCCATTCCCGCCATTCCCAAATCCACCACCTCAATGAGGAATTGAATTCCTTCAAAAGTACGAATCAGATTCCTTAATTTACATTGGGACCACATTAGTGTTCATTCCTGTTGGGAAGGTTAACGCAGGGTTGATCCGGAATCGGAATCATTCCCTCTGTACTCATTCCGATTCCATGTATGTAAACACATTTGATCCGAAATTGGATTCATTCCCACTCTACTCATTCCGATTCCATGTACGTAAACCCGCGATTAATGGGATGAGATGTAGGAACTAATTGAGGGTAGGTGTCCCTTAATTGTAGGACTATTGAGGCTATAATGCCTTATTTAATCTGCCTTAAATATCATCAATTATCAACTTTTGCGGTTGGAAATGCTTTAATCTGATACGTTACTTGTATAATAACACAGTAGTGCAAATTTGTTATTTGTAAAACAAAAATGTTACTCTATCAGTAGGGTAAATTTGTTATTTGCACAACAAAAACACTATTCTTATCATATTTTTTTATTCGCATTTGTACCACGTTTCTAATAGAGATGAGACATACATGTGCTGGTGGGCTCCACCTTTATTACAAAAGTGGTACGAATGTGGTAAGTGTAGCATTACTCTTCGTATAATCATATAAAATAATCCACAAACAAACTAGCAATTTAAATAAATTATGCATATCCATTTTTATCTCTCACATACTCCTCTCAATTTCCAACCATCAGATCAAACGTATTTAAGAAGTTTAATGGATAAAAATTAACAAAAATGTACCGAAAGTAAATAAATGAATGGCCCTAGAGATATGAACAGGATAACTAGTAGGAGGGTGTTCATTGAGGATGTCAAAGAGTGGGTTGTTGCCTATGGAGGCTCTTTTGGGCGCTACGTATTTCTCCTTCGCATGTTAAGGTTGTCTTGTTGCTTTCATCCAAGGATTTGAAGGCAGTTGTTGAGTTCCTTTTATAAGTGTTGTTTAAGTCAAGGTGCATTCAAAATAGTTGGTTTGAACATATTGTTGGGGAATGTTTGCTTACTTGAAATGAAAGTAAATAAATTACGCTAATATATTTGAAATTTGGTTCGTGATGTTCTTACATTTGATCATAGAAATTAAAAACTAAAAATGAAATAGTGATGAACTAGTCCCTTGATTTTTGTTTAAAAATACCAATTACATTTGAAATTTGTGAAAAATGTCGATATTTGAAAAGTAACTGATTATTGAGTGATGGAGCGGAATTAAATCGTGGTCATTAACTCGGTTACTTCTATGATGCGGTAGGACCGTAGAAGCTAGAACATGAACACGATCCATCATCTCGGCATGAATTTAGTTGGGGTCCAATTTTTCAAAATTTTTATTCTTTCGGTCCTACAAACATGAATTGGCAGAACAGCATTCGGATATAACTGCCGAACCATGGAGAAATGTTCGGTAGGTTCTGCCGACAGATATAAGGAACTTCGGTGCGGGGCTAAGAGAGAGTTGAGAGTTTGGGCTCGAGTCGGCCCATCACTAGATATTTATGTTAACCCGACCCATCACTAAATTCAAAGAGTCTCTCGTTCTCACACACAAATAAAGCTCAGCGAAGCACATTGTCCCCGCCATTTCTAATTCGAATCGGAAGCCGTACGCACCAATCTTCCAAGCACCAAGAACAGTTCCCGCCAAGTCCGTTTCCAAACTGCTAGGGTTTCTCATCAGTTCTCTCTCTGCGTCCTCTTCGAATAGCTGCTGTAACTTCATCTTTCCGATTGGAAGAGGCAAAACGAACGAAGAATTTCAACTTTTGCGGTAAATCGCTTCAAAAGTATTACCACTTTGTATTTCGGATTTCAGCGCCAATCTTCTCCTCTTTTCATCTGTGATTTTCGATTACGTTTTACGTTTTGGCGTTTCAGGAAGTTTTTTGAACGAATCGGAGCACACTCCGAGAGACGGCCGAGTTGAGCGAGCGGAAAATCACAATCGGATGGTCTGTAAATTGATAGCTGAAGGATTTTCTTTGAAACCAACGGAATCAAAGCTTTGGAGCTGAATTTTGGTCAAAGTTCGGGTATACAAGTTTATAACTTCTCTTTTTACTGTTTGGTTGCTGAGAAAATGTTAAAAATCAAAGGATTTTGCGTTTATTAAGCATTGATTATTTGATATTGATGAGGAATTAATTGATTTTTTCACTTCTTTGTTTTTCTTTTCAGAAATTATGTTGTCAATGAACATGAAGCTATTTTCTTCGTCTGTATTCCTTTGGACGGATTTGATTTCAATATATTTCTCACATTTTTTATGTTCCAGTGGTTTCCTTTATTTTGATCTCAGAAAGTGGTAAAAAATGTTGAAAATGGAAAGAAAAAAAACCTATTTTCCATAGAATTTGTGTTAATATTTGCAAATGAACGCATGCCAATGATATTGCTCTTATAATTTGTAGCAAGTCTGCAATTTTTTATTACGGCACTGGAAAAAGTTTATGTTTCCTTAGTTCGTTTTGCCACAAGCCTCCCTGGTTTCTCAATTGAAACCCATAACAGAAAGCATTTAACCCATGTTTTATATCCCCTAGGTATGCCAGTGCATTAGAGTTTGTCTTTGAAGGTTGAAATGAGATGCAATGCATGTTGGCGAGAACTGGAAGGGCGAGCTGTTTCCACCACCTGTGGCCACCTTTTGTGTATCCTACGGAGAGGAAAATTTTGCGTTAACATTCGTGTAAATTAACTTTCTTGTGGAAATAGGGTTGATTGGTATATATGAATATAAATTTCCTTAACAGTTTGAAAAGGCACAGAGGATGCGGGCAAGATCCTTGGCAGTGATGGAGCGTGTCCCGTTTGTGATCAAGTGCTCTCTAAGAGGTAAGTGCCTCTAATGATCTTAGAATGTTAGCATTTTCTGGGAATCTGTATTCTTCTAGCCTTGCAATTAAGTGTGCAGGTGCACTATGCATACATGAACATAAATGAGAGGGTGTCATCTTTTATTACTAATAAGTAATATGAGAGTAACTACAGATATGCGCTGTATGGGATAACTGCCGAATACCAAATTTAGTCTGTTTCTGGCATCAATGGTTGCTGCAGAATTCTTTTTCGTGCAGCAACCAGTAAAACCATAACATGACAGTTCCTGCCACCAATAAAACTTTGTGTTTTGAATAGAAGCACTGTGGCAAACTTATTTCCTACTTACATGTAGCATCGTGCCCATCTCATTTTGCTTTCCTCTTGGCAGTCATATGAAAGCTTTTGATATCAATCCAAATGATGAATGGATAAATGTAAGCAAGTACTCACTGACTAGACCTAGCTTGTCTTCATATTTTATTTTACTTTTCCTTTTGCGTTTGTAGCTTCTGTATCCTTTTGATAATGATCGGAAGATATTCTGTTTCAGATGGCCATGATTGGAGTGTCTCCACAGATATGTATCCTTTTCTATTTTCTCTGCAATCTAATAATCTGATACGGTGATTGTTGCATTTCTTATGAGGGAGTGACGAAACTAGATTAGGTTTTTATTGCATTGTATTCAATGTTTTATAAAGGGCAGGACATCTTTCCCTTGACAGTATTCCTAGTAATGAAGAGTGCACACAAAAGTGTCATGTTCTACATTGGCCAAAGGGAATTGGAAATGCAGTGCAAGATGAACAGAATGCAAGCTCAGTATCGGCAGAAATTTGAAGCAATGCAAGAAAAGTTTGGTGAGAAAATGGAACAGTTGCATGCTGCATACCAGAAAATGGCAAAGAGGTGCCAAACAATGGCGCAAGAAATTGAGAGCTTGTCCAAGGATAAGCAGGAGCTGCAGGAGAAGTTTTCAGAGAAATCCAGGTCTTGTTTTCATACCTACTGATACTAATTCCTGAGGCATATAGTCCCGTTATTGGGTCCCTCGTATAATGATTTTCTCTATTTATATACCAGACAGAAGAGAAAATTAGATGAAATGTATGATCAATTGAGGAGTGAGTACGATTCAGTTAAACGATCTGCCATCCAACCGTCGACGAATTTCTTTTCAAGAAATGAACCTGATATTTTCTCAAACCAAGCTAACATTATGATGGAAAACAGAGAAGCTGTTAGAAGAGGTAACTCTTTTCCTTCTAATGTTGCAGAAATAAATTTGTAAAGCAGTAAATAAAAACCATATGCTAACTTTTCTTTTCGATAAACCTCCCAAGTTCTGGACGTTTGATGCTATAACGTGACTGATCTGAACATAATAGCTTTATTTTTTAATCTTTTGTCTCAAATATTTCCAAATCCAGTTGACTTATTTCTTGCAGATTGGTCCGTTCTTACTCCTGAAACTCCAGGGCCGAAGGAGGATATATGGCCAGCGAGACAGAATAGTTCAAACTCCGGCGGTCCTTTTGACATCTCGCTTGGCTCACCGGCAAAACAAGCTGCTATTCCAGTTGATGCTGGGAACAGAAGGGCTGGTGCTCACCCTATGTTTGGAACCGGAGCTAGCAACCCCGCAATGACTTTACGGAACATGATACTCTCCCCAATAAAGAGGCCTCAGCTCTCCCGCCGTCCCCAGATGTTCACGTAAGTTGCAATTTTAGTTCTGCCAAGTTTACTTAGCCATCCATTCCTGAATTCTCGTGACCTGGTTTTCAGGTTCTAGGCTCGAAGTTGAGTGCTCGCTGTTTGCCGAAGGACATGCCGAATATGTTTACTATGACTGTAATTTTCTTTTTCGAAATGAAAAAGAGAATTCTCGCAGACCCTATTACGAAACAATCATATGTTGTAACAGAAAAATGCATCACTTGCGGCATCATTTGGTGTAAATATTTTCGTTTTGGGGTGAAACAGCTTCCGGTGACATGGTTATGGGCATGGACGTTGCACCCCGGAAGCTGATTTGCCTCCAACTCTTCCCCCTTCCCTCCTTCACTTGATATATTTTCCTTAGCAGATATCAATAGTACGGAATGTTTCTGGCAGGACACGTTTGTTACTTATTCGACTACAACGGCACGGTTATTTACTTGGAATGGAGAAAGTTACTCGAGTGCTAGTAAACGCGGGGATGTCAGGGTTCCAAATAATTCCAATATCGTTTCAAGTCAAATGTGTCATGATTTCTGCTCGAAATCAAAGAATCAAAACTCTACAGCCCGAACGCATGTTTACAGAAGTTCCGCAATATTCACAGCTCGTACTTACAAAAATTTATTTCTATCCAAACATCCGTCCTTACGTTTCTTCACTAATGTTCTGTAAATGGTGAGGCAAAAAAACCTTCAAAACTGGGGCCTTGGGAGATATCTCTATGACATCGCCATCCTTTATAGAATAGCAAACATGAGAACCGTCAATGTATACGACGCCCTCTTTAGACAACCACGTAGCTTCCATGGACTGACGAGATTTGATTGATCCGTGCATTAAGCTTGAGGTGTTTCCTGGTGAAATGGGCTCTCTTACCATGTACTGGAGATCCTGAGATAAGATGGGCATCGGAAATCCGCCTGCTGAGAGCATTGCAGCGGTTGATCCAGCAGCTGTTGAAACTCTGAGACCACTTGATCGAGAATGCACCAGTGGGGAACATGGCTGGTCATCCATTTTAATTCTGCTTGTAGGCGGGGAGGGAAAGTTAGATACATGTTAACTAGAGAGAAAGTTAGATACATGTTAACTACAGAAATAAGTTGAGCGTACAGCTGTGTGACCATGGAGGAAGCTTACTTGAATGAGAATCGTGAAACTGCTGCCGGACATGGATGTGCAATTAAAATATCATTAAGAGCATAAGTTGGAATCACTTCTGAGTTTACACATATGGATATCCTTGTCAATTTGGAAGGATTAGCTCGACCCTCGAGGATATTGTCCAGAACCTAAGAAAAGAAGAGGAAATCTTCTCAGAAGTTACAATACTTCAAAAGGAATTGCTACTTCGTGCTGGAAATCACCAATTTTTCTACAAATCCTTCACTCCGTATCTCCAAAACGTGTAATGATATCACATTTAAGTTGTGCGGAACAACTTCACAAGAAACGTACTTCTATGCAGCCCAACCCTAGATGCCTTCAACACCGTAGCAGGGCTTTGGCCGGCAAACAGATCTTTAAAGCGAGAGGTTACTTCGATAGAATATTCCTTACAACTAATAGGTTGATCACAGCATAAAACTTGCATTAAAGATGAATGTCAACGTCTTTCGAAATGAATGTTAGATATTTTCTCTCCTTCCAGTACTGACTGATCTTAAAGACACCCTAGAATAGAGGAGCGAAACTAGGAACTAGTCTCCGATCATCTTTAGGTTAAAATTCAAGATCAGTCTTACCTGTTCAAAGTTGTTGACCGTTGCACCGCAAAGATAGCCTGTGCTTCTATTAGCATCAAACTCATTCCTGAGCTTCTCTACCTAACCAAGGCAAAATCAGGAAGAAAGAAACAAAATATGAACTGATTACAAGCCACGATTAAGTGAAACTCAGTGAACTAATACGCCGATATAAAGACTGAACCTCTATGGCTTAGCCAAATTAAGAGACTAACCTCTTCAGGTTGTGTGGGGTCAGAATTCACTCCTAGAACTGGAACCGTGTCATCAATGAAATGGCTGCCTTGTAATAGAGTGCCATCACCCCCAACTGTAACAACAAGGTCCACATCACGGATAGGCTGGGATAGATTAGTACGTACTATAGGTTTCCACTCAACAGGCTTCTGGCGCAAAATACTCTGACACAAGTTTATTGCATCCTTGTGCACTTTTCGCCTGTTCTCCAAGTAATGTAGTACCTGCAATATTTCCAAGGGAAACTGAATTACGAGGGTGCTTTGGAAAAAGCATAATATGATGAACTAAGAAAATATGAATTACTTGTATGTCTTTGCAAAAGTTGTCAAAAGATGGAACCAAACCATCCTCCCGAAACAGCAAGACAATCAATGTCCGGAGCACTATGAGAAGAGCAAGCCTGTGACTCTCTGCTCTTCACTCGAGGCTCCATTTAAGGTGAAAATACAAAGTTTAAAGAAAATTCCCACAACCAAAGACATAGCTAGAATCGCGTTCTTGATTAATATACAAGTACAATCACAAAGCCAAACGTTATTGGTGAAACGATTTAATACCTTCAATTTCATCAACTTATTTGTCTTTTTGGGTATGGCATTTTCTCATTTACCGGGTTTTACAAGTGAAATCACAGTTCACATAAATCTATCGCAAATTCCACTTATTCCAAGAGTTTCTCAAACATCAGTTCAGCTTGTAAAAGCCTCAATCATACAAAGTACGGGCGAGAAACTAGTACCATCATAAAAATAAAAATCCCGGCCAAAGAAATACCGGAGTTTTTCTGCAAGCCCAAACACACAAATCAACCATCGTCGGCATCGTCAATCATGATACATTCATACATGATTCTATACATATATACAAAACAACATAAAATTTTAAAAGACAAATCATGGTTTACACTACAATGTCTTGAAAATTGGTAAAGGGGCGACCCAAGACAACAAGGCTCCCTACTTTGCGGGGATTGTCCTGAAAATTGGTACAAAGTACAAATCTTTTTCACCTTTCTCACTCTAATCACAGATTTCTTAAGTTCATTGATTTTTCGTTTAATAAAAAAATCAATTTTGTTCCCGAGCTTCTTTTCATTTCAAACCAAATTTATTAACTTTGGCATTTTAACAAACAGGTTGAATGCTTAAGCTGAAAATTGCAAGCGACCCATCAAAACTAGCAAGGCAAGCAGTTCGACTATGAGGGTCCACGAGAAGGACCACGATGTAGCGGACACTGAATCAGCAAGAAGCAAAAGGGGCATGGTGGTACCTGAGGGTTGGTGATGCGACACAGACCGTCTGATTGGCCGACTTGGTAAACGTCGAACGGTTTTAACAGCAGCAACAGTCTCCTCCTCGCCATTTCTCTCTCTCTCTGTATCTGAAGGGTGTGACGGTGGACCGGCCAAAGCTCCGTTTAGACTTGCATGTGGCGGAACTGTAACAGGAGGCCTCATCGAACAATTTAGGGCCTTTTTTTTTCCACTTTTTCTTGGTAACAGTCAGGGACCTAGGGTCTACTGAGCAATTTTTAAGGTCTATTTAGTATGTAGGTTTTTTTTTTTTTTTTTTTTTTTTTTTTTGTAAGAAATTATTTTGTTTTATGCTGTGGTTTTAATGGGAAGAGATCCAAATGGGATCTCTTCCACCAAATTCGTAGGGATCTGGAGATCCGGACTCTTGAAATTTGATCAAACAACTACAAATAGGAAGCTCCACTAAAAGTTATAATAATTGTAACCGTTGGATCAAATTTCAAGGATCTGGATCTCCGGATCCCTAGGATTTGGTGGGAGAGATCCGGCTGGGATCTCTTCCTGGTTTTAATGGAAAATTGTAGTTTTTCGTTTGGATCCGGTGAATTGAAAAAAAAATTAATGGTAAAAATTAACAATGGTGTGTGAGAAGTAAAAAAATATGTATGGAAAGCACACCGTTTCGATTTCATTTTGTGTACAGTTACAAATACATTTCTTCTGCTTCCCTCTCATTATCATTCCTCAACTATTTTTTTTTTCTCTTCTTTTTCTTATGTTTTTCTTTTCTATCTCTACCAAAATTGAAAACGAAAAATTTGAATGGATGAAACATAATATAAACGTTCAACTAGCAAAACAACTAACTCGGATGGTTCGGTTCGAAACTTTGAGCTATAAACTAACAAAAACTGTACTTTTGAGACAAATCTTGTTGCAAGCAATATTCTAATTAATCTAATATAAATTGTTGCTCTAATCCAATTATGGGCCTCTTTATAAACGACTTGAATGGCGCTAATCGTCCACACTATTTACTTTTTGACACATGAAATTCGCTTAGTACTTGTTATCACTTGTTATTCCATTCCATTTCCCCGGCAAAGCCGCCATCGGCAACGATGGTTGGGGCGAGCGTTTGGTGAAACTAAAGAAATACTTTTCGAATCATATATAAAGGTAAAACAGTAATTTTATTGACACAAGAAATCGCGAGTTCCACAAGAATGAAGTTGTGAACAAAGCTAGTACTTACAACAGTTCTTTACTGTTGTCTGAAAATAGTGAGACAAGAAAACCTTCAAAATTGGAGCCTTCGAAGATATCTCAATGGCATCCCCATTCTGTATAGAAAAGAAAACATGAGAACCGTCGATGTATACGACACCTTCTTTACAAAACCATGTAACTTCCATGGACTGATGTGATTTGATTAATCCATGCATGAAGCGTGAGGTGTTTCCCGGTGAAATGGGCTCTCGTACCATAAACTGGAGATCCTGAGATAAGATTGGCATCGGAAATCCGCCTGCTGAGAGCATTGCGGCTGTCGATCCGGCAGCTGTTGAAACCCTGAGGCCACTTGACCGAGAGTTCACTAAGGGGGAACATAACTCGCCGTCCCTTTTAATTCTGAAGGCAACGATTCAGGAATTTAAACAGTTAATAAACACTAATGCGTGTAAGCTAAACAAACAAGTTAAATATATGGCTGATCAGCAGACCACAGAGGAACTTTTACTTGAATGAGAACTGAGAAAGTGCTGCAGGACATGAATGTGCAATCAAGATATCGTTAAGGGCATAAGTTGGAAGCACTTGCGAGTTTACATATACGGATATCCTTGTCAATTTGGAAGGGATAGTTCGACCCTGGAGGATGTTGTCAAGTACCTGCGGAGAAAAGAAAGCAAATATTCAAAAGATATGAATTGTGTACTTTCCTTATGCCCGCTTCTAAAGACACCCTAACTAGAATAGAGGAACCAAAATTTGACTGGTCTGGATTCTGTTTTGTATTGTGTCAAATTCATGATTTTGTTTTACCTCTTCGAAGTTGTCAATAGTTGTGGCGCATAGATATCCTGTGCTTCTAGAAGCATCAATCTCATTGCTGAGCTTCTCTACCTGACCAAACAAAATATTGTAAATACGCTGCTCCGAAAATTACCGAGTCTCAGCCCAAAAATCAGGGAATATGAGGAAAAATTGAACTCGTTACAAGCAAGGATAAAGCACAAGCTGTATAAATAAGGAAGTTAGTATGCCAATATAAAGACTAATACTTGAGGGCTTAGCCAAAGACTGAAACTAACCTCTTTGGGCTGTGTGGGGTCAGAATTCACTCCTAGAACTGGAACTGAGTCATCAATGAAATGGCTAGCTTGTAATAGAGTACCATCGCCGCCTACTGTGACAACAAGGTCCACATCATGGACGGGCTGTGATAGATCATTAAGCACTACAGAATTCCACTCAACGGGCTTGCGGAGCAAAATATTCTGACAACAACTTATTGCATCATTGTGCACCTTCTTCTGCTGTCTAAGTGATGTAGCATCTGCAATTCATTCAAAAGAAACTGAATTAACAAGGGTGTTTAACACTAACTTAACAGGAGATAGAGCGTGCGAGAATTTATCAAAGGTAGGGGGAAAATGCAATCGAAGAAAGAGGGTTTAAGGAACTGATCTAACATCCTTGGCAAAGTTGCACAACGAAAACATGTCATACCGAGAATGATCAGAATTTGATTTTGTTATATATACAACTACAAAGCGTAAACCTTCGTTACCTTGTTTTTCTTTCCCGGGTATGCCATTCTCTTTTATACCGAGTTAAACAAGTGAAATCGAAGCTCACACTGTTTAATTTTCAAACTTGTTTCGTACTCCACGTATTCCAACAGTTTTCTCAAACTTGAAACCAAGTAAGAAAATTCTTGAGTTTTGTGTAAGCCTAAACACCCGAAACCGGAAACTTTATCATTCTTGGCACCTTAAATCATGGCCTACTCATAGATGAAGCCTTAATACAAACTATAAAGTAAATATATCACAAATAACAAAAAAATCTTACAAAATTGGTACAATGTGCAAATCTCTCCTCTCTTCACTAGTAATTTTTTTGCTTTCATTGAAATTTGTTTACTTTTTGTAGTATAAACAAGAACTAAGATTTTTCTTATTATCCCAATTTTACAAAGATGAATTGAAGGAAAAAAAATCAAGCAGACAAACGAAAGTTATCGACTTTGGCATTTTATCAAACACTTGGAGTGCTAAGCTCAATAAAACAGTTCAGATATGCAGATGGATGAGATTACCTGAGACTGGGGATTCGTGATGCGAGATGGACCTTCTGATTGGGAAACTGGGTCAGCTTCGATCGGTTTTAGCACCACCAACAATCGCTTCCTCCCCATTGCTCTCTCGATAGGGTGTGAGTGACGGTCGACCAAACACTCCAGCGCTGCAGGTGGTTTAAGTATTTCTGAATTGATGAATTAGACTGGGAGGCATAAGGTAAAAATAGACTTGCTTCAGGATGTTCGTCTTTAGGAAATACAAAAATATTAGTTGGATGGTATAAAATATCGATGATATCAGAAATATCGGTAGTTTAAAAACACGAAAATATCGATGGAAATATCGGGATATTATCGATATCGATAAAAATAATATGGAAACCACGGAAATTGTAAGAAAAACTTGGAAATTTTTATTGAAACTTTGCAAGATGTTTATTTAGTCAATTATCTATTAGTTTATCACAAAAAATTGGAAGGAAATGCATTGCATGATAGATTTAACTTATTATATTAGCACCCCACAAATTGTTGAATAAACCTCACATACTTGATATACCTCACATTTACTTTTTCAATTAAAAACTATCTTAATACACCCCACTTCCTTCCCCATAATACCCTCACACCCCATATTTTTAATATGTACCTTATATTTTTTACACACACCCCACATTTCTCAAATCTTATAACACTCATTTTTTATTTTGCCGAATGATTTCAAACTATCTGAACGTTAGTTTGTTGAATGATTTCAAATTGAATGATTTCAAAAAATGTTTAGGTTCATTTGAACGTTTTTCAATAACAATAATAATAATTTCAAAGCTTTCGAAACATTGATTTCGTGTTCCATTCGTCAAAAATTATTTTCTCAATCAACATGTTTGTAGTTTCATTGCTTAGGGTTTTATTCAACAATGGAGAATGAGAAGAGTTTTGATAGTTGAAATAGATAAATAATACATTAAAAGTGATTTGGGGTGTATTTATAAATTTTTTATTATTTTTTTAACCTAATAAAGTCAAAAATTGTCATTATATAGTAGAGTAAATTAGTCATTAATATTAAATTTTAATGTGGGGTGCATTCAACATTTTATGGAGTGTTAATATAAAAAACCTAAATTAAAATAAACAAATAATAAAACAAAAAGGAAAAAAAAAAGAAATGGCTCACCTGGATTCGAAATCAAGACCTAGAGCCATGGGAAAAGCGCATCAAAAAGAAAGAAAAATTTGATGGGCGCGAGGGTTCGAACTGGAGAGGATTGTGAGGACATGTTGACCAACACGTCCAAGTCCACATTGGTGTCAATCTTTAGCAACAACTATAATATATGCGAATGTAGCAGCTTATGTTCATTTCAGAAAAAAAAAAAAAAACCCTAGCACTTTCTGTCTTGCCTCTAGCCCAAAGCCCCAAACGGCTCTTTGTCTTTCCGTGTTAGACTTTTCCCATTCAACAGACATGGCATGCACACATGTCATGCATCCATGTGGTGAACTTCTTAGGATTCCAAAATAAAGGCTAAGATGTGCCCCATTTTTCCCATTTCTGATTACCTTCTAGAAATCCTAGGCCTCTCTCAGAGATATCTCTCAATAATTCAAGGACCTTCTTTCATTTCACTCGGCCCTCTCTTCCCATTTCTCTCAGACCTCTCTCTCTTTAAGATAAAAAAAAAAAAACAAATAGCTCTCATCGGCGCCGTCTCTCTCTCGAAACTCTCATCTCTCTCCTTTCTCTCTGCACCGAGACCCACATACACACACACACACCATCGCACCTGCTTGAGGAAGACACCCATCGTTATCAGCAACCTCGTCTTTCTCCCTTTCCTTCTCGTCTCCGCAACTCGGCGACGCAGGAACCCTCCGACGAGTTTCTTGAATTTCTCCAGTTAGGTAAGCTTCGGGTTTACCTCATTTTGTTCTAGATTGAAGCTTAGATGTGAAATTTAAGTTCTATCTCATGTTTTTGCAAGGTTTTTGGGGCAAAATTGGCTCGGGAATAGGCACACCCATCTCCGACGAGGCTGTGGGTGTCGACGAACTTTCCGAACACCTCCGACCGTTTCACGGCAAACGGAAGTTATAAAAACATTCCTCTCGTCTTGTATTTCATTTTGATACCTAGATCGGAGTCTAGGGTGCTTTTTACAATCGGCTGGAGCTGTAGAAGCTCCGACGTTCTTCTCCGATTCGCACATCTCCAAAATATCGCGATATTATCGGTAATATCGCGATATTGTCGATATTATCGATAATATCGCAATATTTTAACGAAAACTTAGTGGATAAGTATTAAAATATCGGTAACTCAAAAAACCAATATTATCGGCATTTCATACCTTGGTTGGATGGAAAAATGAAAAGTTCATTTTTTATTACAACTTTGGATGATTAAAATACACCGTACAATGAGTTTGAATTAGCATATTGTGCTCTTTTTAGAATGTATTATGCTTCGAAAATGGGAATCGAACGCAAAATTTATAAATTTTCTTTGCATCCTTTTGTCTTTCTTTGATCTATTTTATCTTTAGTTCAATATTTCCTAACTTTAATTACTTTTTTTAAAATTTGAAACATTTTATTTTATTATCTTTCTTCTTTGACTGATACCTTGTCTTACATCACATATGATGTAAAACATCACTGGAACACATTCGATTTTGATTTTAAAGGAGTATATAAAATTTCAAGTGTATTCCATTAGAAATTTATTTGAAAGGAAATTAAAAAGTAAAAGATTCGAGGGAATTAGAGATATTACGTAATGTATATTAAGTATTTACAAATATCACTTCTCTCATGAGAGAGAGACATCACTAAAATCTCTAGAAATCATTTGAACTTCATCAAACTCTATGAACTTATAAATCTATTAAAATCACTCAAACTCTATATAAACCTCTAGTAAACTAAATTAAATTAAATTAGAATGTCATTTTGTCAAAAGTACGAAAGATTCTATAAGTCCAACTCTTATTTACCAAAGTAAATAAACAAATAGTTCTAACTCCAAATGTCCGAGAATGACTTATATAATAAGAAAAACTAATGAAAATGATTTTAAAACTTTGAGTTTTAAAGATAAGGACAAAATAAAGGGTAACTTGAATAGTATCAGGATTGACTTTTTAATATAAAAATGTGGTTTTTCGTTAAAGTAAACAGTATCGGAAGCTTTTCGTTAAAGTTCTCATAATAATACGACATACTATTATTATATTAGTCGCGATTTTTTTGTACCATGTAAATTGTGTTTCTAATACCGTGTTGGGAAAGGATTTGAATCCTTTCCTGAGCCTAAGGAGAGGATCCTCCTGACCAAGAACTGTGGACCGTTGAATTTTTATCCAACGGCTATAATTATTATAACTTTAAATGAATCTCCTATTTGTAGTCGTTGGATAAAAATACAACGGTCCATAGTCCTTGGTTAGGAGACAATCCAAATCCAGTGGGAAATGATTCAAACACCTAAGGTCATCTCCAACCGAAGGGTTCAGAGGGCCAGAGAGCTGAAAATAGCCTAAAAATCGTCTCCAACCGAGGGCTACGCCAGAGGCTTGTGAGCCTAACGAAATCTAAAAGGGCCAAAGGGCCAGAGGGTTGGCCCCTTCTAGCCAGCCAGCCAGCCCCGGGCTGGCCAGAATTTTGTGTAAAAGTGTCAGATTTCCTGTCGGATATAACCGACAGGAATAATTTTTATTATTGAAATCGTGTCGGTTATAACCGACACGAATAGTAATTTGAATTGCAATTGTGTCGGTTTTAAAATTTTGAATACAACGGCTAGCTGATTGTAGCTAGCCATTGCCTTACATTTTTTTTTGTTATGAATTCAAACCTTTTTTTTTCTTTTTATAAATACCTAACTCATTTCTACACCATTTCTCACATAATTTTCACCTTTGCATACTATCTCACTTCTATTTCAAATTTAAGTTATAGTTTTTAAATTTAAGTTGTTGTTGTTTTTAAATTTAAATAATAAATTATGTTTGGTCATTTGGCCATCGGTTGAAGACAGAAGCCAATATAACCCTGTATTGTTCATTAAAATATTAATATCTTGAAAGATGTTATACCCCACCCACATTCTATTTAAAATGGTTTTTAGTTTTTAATTGGTGAGCCCAAGGGGCCCACCCATGATTTTTTTGTTCCCCCCCCCCGAGTCTCTTATCTCTTCCCTCTCAGTCCTCTCTTTCTTCCCTTTCCCCATACTCTCTCTTTCTAAACATTCTCTTTTATCTCTCCGGCGTTGAAAAAGGAAACCACCATCACCCACGCCATTTTCAACCAAACCAAAACCCAAAAATCTGAACCTCAAACCTTTGGGACATGGGGAATCCACATGCAGCCTTGCATGTGTCATCAAAACATCTCTATGTGCTCTGCCATTAACACAGAGAGCTTGAGCTTTTTCGAACTCCATCTCAGGTATGGTTTAATCCCTTCTTTTTTGTCTCTTTGATAACTGGGATGAGGTTTTGAACCCTTTATTCAAGCCCTAACCCCTGCCATCCTCTGTGCATGCATGTTCGGTTTCGACGATGAACTCCGGCGAGTTCATGGGTGTGTGTTGTGAAGTGTTCGTGGGTGTGTGTTGTGCCATGTGTGTGGGTGTGTGTTGTGCAGTGTTCGTGGGTGTATGTTGTCCCGTGTGTGTGGGTGTGCCCGTGTGAGTATGTGTGTTGTTGTGTATGGGTGTGTGCGTGTACAGTGTGTGTGTGTGTGTGTGTGTAAGCGTGTGTGAGTGTGTGTGGTGCACGTGTGTGAGTGTGTGTGGTGCACGTGTGCGTGTGCGTGTGTTGTGCACGTGTGTTGTGTGTTGCGTGTGTGCGTGTGTAGGTGTGCATGTATGCTGTGCATGTGTACATGTGTGTTGTGCATGCATATGTGTGTGCTGGCGTGTGTGTTTGTGTGTTGTGTGGGTTTGGGCTCAAGCCCAAACCACCCCTTTTGTTCCTAACTATTCAAGCCCAAAACCCAATAAGTCGTAACCCTATTTAACCTAAACTTAAACCCTAATTCGGATCCAAACCCAATACCCATTTCCATTTCTTGAAATTCTATAGTTGGGTAGTTTGATAAATTGTATA